CTGGCCCCCCGCGGGACGAGGAGGGAGTGGACCAGAAAACAAACGACACCCCCCCACCCTACGGTCCCACGGGCCTTGGCGTATACCAAGAGATTTGGCGCGGGCTTTTGCGTGGCATATGCTACGGCCACCGATGGGCCGTATCGCAACATGGAGGACCGCGGTTGGGGTGGTGTCGTTTGCTTTTTTTGGTTGAGGAAGGGCCATGGCCACCTAGCCTCGCGCATCGCGCCCCGCGAGGCGCGGCCATCCTCGCGCCCTCGCGAGGCCCAGCCTGGAGACAAGGGCACCTCTCCGGCTCTCCGGCACCTCTCAGGCACTTTTCTTTGTTTGGCTGTTCTTCGCAATCTTACCAGTCTAATCATGTTCCCTTGCCTCGCCCACATGTTCCCCGAATGATTTCCACGGCGACTCTGGGAACAACTGGTCAACGGCTCTTCCAAATACTCGGCAACATGTCAATTCTGAGAGACCCTCGGGACTCCCTCCGGCGGCATGAGACGGGCAAGAACACCCTAAGGCTGCACCCCTGAAACGCCCCAAGACGGCCCTGAAACGCCCCAAGAGGGCCCCAAGTCGGTTCAGAGACCCCGTGGACGGATTCCGACGACGTCAGACGGGCCAGAAACGCTCTACGACGGCCAAGGATGCCCCCCCCCCAAGCCACAAAGGAACCCACAACTCATATTTTAGTGCTACTGCTACACATGTCCCAGGGGTGCATGCCAGAACACGTCTCTAAAGGTGCGTGCGAAACGCGTCCCAGAGGGTGCGCGTACTACCCGTCCCAGCGGGTGCGTGCCATGGCGCGTCCTGGAAGGTGCGCGTGTACGGCGCGTGGGAGTGATGCGACGACTAGTTGCAGTAAGAGGTGGCTCAAGAGGCTTCCTGGAGGCCTGCTTCTCCCTTTCCTATTCCTCCTCCTCCTCCTCCTCCTCCTCCTCCTCCTCCCCATCCCTCTCCTGATCATCCGCCTTATGTTCCTCCAAGTGTTCCACGAAAGGTTTCCACTGCGGCTCGGGGAACACCTGGTCCGATAACTTATCCAAACTCTGAACCCAAACTTTTGGTCACATATGCGCTTTTTAAAAAAAGGAAGGGGGCGGCGATGATTCGCCGTAGGCGTCTTCAATAATCCAAGAGGGGCCTGATGTCCCCCGAACGCCCAAAGCGAGCCCCCAGAGGCCCCCGCTGAATGCTTCAAGAGACGACCAGGCTCACCTCCCAGATGGTCAAGATGTCGCTGTATTGCCGTCGAAACGGTCCAAAGTGCCCTCAAAAACGGCCAAGGCGACCCCGTATGACCTCGCAAAAACGGTCCCGGATGGCGGCAAGAGGCCGCCATGAATCCTGAGGTTCCCAGAGCCCCGAGAAGGCTGACAGGAGGTCTCCTTCTCCTCGTCGTCCTCCTCCCCCTCTTCCCTCCCCCAGCGGCTGCAAGAACACATAGGGAAATAGCTTGGCCAAACTGTGCTCTTCGCCATGCGCTGAGTAAGAACCTCACGGAGCTTCCAGGAAACTCTTCGGGGCGTCTAAGTCCACACCTTTCGGAACACCCCTGGCTGTCACCTTTATCATGGGGGTCTTCTTCCAAAGTCGACATTGTCTGCAATTGGTTTCCGTCTCCTCCCATTGGCTCCGAATGCCTGTCGTGGCACCGCGTCGTATCGTCTCAATATTCCTATCACTGTTCTTAATAATGCTAACTACTAAATCCATACTCGCAGTCGTATTAGTAACAATGTACGACTATACGATTCAGTGATCCGTCACTGTGCCCTGAAGCACGAGTTGGAATGTCCTCAGGTCCCTTGGCGTTCTCCGCTCTCAATTCTGAGTGCTGGGCGTGTCGCGTGACTCCTGGGTTTTCCCGCATGTTGTCGCGTGACTTTCTCGGAGCCAAGAGAGCCCTAAAGTTAGCAACGAAGGCTCCGAGCGGCCCTCAAGACGCCCAGGATGGCCTCAAGAGGGCCCCAGAGGCCCCCGAGAGACCCCAAGAGCTTGTCCAAGAGGGCCCTAAGAGGCCAAACTGTTTTTATTGTGTTCATGTTTGAAAGACTTTACCGCTCTCGCCATGTCATACCGACGCTCAGGAGACGACCCAGGAGGCTTCCAATATCGCCCCACGAACCCCAAGAGGGCCCCCAGGCGGCCCAAGAGGGCCCTAAGAGGCCCCCCAAGATTGCCCACGAGGGGCCCAAGGAAAGACCCCAGAGTGGGACACGAATTGCAATGCCCAGCGCTCCGCCCAAGGAGCGACCCTCGAGGCCGCCAGTGAGCCCCCGAAAAGTCCCACAGCAGCTCCAGGTGGCCGTCAAGAGCTTCCAAAGACATTCTGAAACCGCCTCCAAGAAGCCTCCTGGAGTCCTCCGAATGTATCCTCACCAGCACCCAAGGGGCCTGGAGCCGTCAACCCAGGCGCGGTGGCGAGATGCGCCGAAGGTCACTGATACCCTTAATGAAACAAGTATTCGCGTTCATGCCAGGGTGATGGCACAAT